TTTTTTTTTTTTTTTGGTCTTTTCATATTTTCATTCCTTGTTTTGAATTGTTCCTGTTTATTCTTCTGTTGGATTCGGTTTGAGAGCTTGTAGTATTTTTTGGAGTGGGTTCAGTCATGACAGAATTGCGGAGTTGTTTTTCTGAATATATTGGCATTTAATGCTTTGGAGTTTGTTGAGTATGTCCCTCCACTCTCTCCTTGCCTGTGGTGTTTCTTTAGAGAAGTCTGATGTCAGCCTGATTGGTTTCCCTTTATAGGTTATTTGTTTCTTCCCTATTATCATTCTCATTATCTTTTCGTTTTCTTGTATTCTTGGTAGTTTTACTATATGTCTTGCTGTATGTCTCCTATCATCATGGTAGTTTGGTGTTCTTCTTGCTTCTTGGATGTCTCCTTTCATCTCTTTCATATTAAGAAAGTCCTCTTCTATTATCTCTGTGAATATTTTCTCGATTCCTTTGCCTTTCTCTTCACCTTCTGGGAAACCTATGGCTCTGATATTTTCTTTCCTAATGGTGTCAGATATCTCTTGAAGTGTTTCTTCATTCTTTTTCCTTTTTACTTCTCTTTCTTTTTTTTTAATTCTCTTTATTTCTGTGTCTTTGAGGGTGCTGATTTGTTCTTCCATTTCATCTATTCTGTTTTCATTACTTTTCCCAGCGTTCTTTATCTCTAGTGGCCTTTTCATCACCTGCATTTCTTCTATTTCCTTTTTTAATGTCTCATTGTCTTTCTTCAATTTATTGATTGCTTGTCTTATATCTTTTTTTTCTTTTTCATTTCTTTCATTCACTTCTTTATTTGTATTCTTCAATTCCTTGATGGCTTGCCTCATATCACTTTTTCCTTTCTCATCTTCTTTTTGTTTGCTTATCATGATGATTCTGAATTCTCTATGTGGTAGGCTGAGCAGTTCTTGTATTTCTTTTATGATTTCTGTTGACTGATCTTTTTGTGATGAATTTTTCCCCTGTGGACTTGCTTGAGTATTTTTTGGTTTTCTTTTCCCTGTCGTGTGTTTTCTAATATTTTCTGTTTGTTGAGACATGGTGTTGCTATTATTGACTGGCATTCTTTCTGGATGTTCTTTCTGGGATGGCAGTGGGACACCCAGACACTTCAGTCGTGAGGGTATTCTTAACCTTGGTTAGTTTCCTTATCTCCTGTTTTTCCAGCCCCCACTGTGTGGAATTATGTCTGTCATCTCAGCCAGTGATAGTCAGGGGTCTCTTGTGGTGTTCAACTTCTTCCAGTAACTTGTTGAGTCCTTGTCTCTGGAAGGTGCCTGTTGATCTTTGCAGCCTTCTGTTGTCCCAGGTTCCCTCTATGCTTGGATGTTCCCATGGGGGGTGAGGTGCATTAGAAGTGTTGTAGGTTTCCATGCAGCTGGGCCTGTGGTTGAGCCAGTCACTGGTTTCATTTACTTTCTAAGCACTGTGAGCCCTTCCAAGGCAGTGTCTTACTCGCTCACAAGTCTTCTGGCCACTGCTGTCCAGTAACACCTTGAGTCCTAGCGCCTGCTGTGGGGGAAGGATTATAGGGGTGCAGGGAGTGCCAGAAGGGCTACAGCTTCCATGCTGTGCAGGCTGCCTCCAGGGCTCTTTGTACTCACTCCAAGCAGTCTCTCTCTGAGCAGTCTTTCCCCACCACTTTAGGTCCACTCACAGAGCAGAGTTGTCTCTCTTTAACTCCAGGGCTTTACCGCAGGTTTTGTGGGTAGACACAGTAAGCAGGTAGAGCAGTAGTAAGTCTCCCATCTGAGGCACTTTCTGATGCCTCTATATGTTAGGATATGCCCATGGAGGGTTGGAGGAGTGCTATGTAGCTTCCCAGGGTTGGGCCTGTTTTTGATTCAGTCTAACTGGTTTTTTTTTTTTCCCCCATTTTACCTCCAGGGCTTTATGAACTTGCTCATCCCACCTTAGTGACTAATAGTGGGAACAAGCCTCCAGGCCTATGCTGTGTGGGCAGGGGATGCAGGGAGCTCTGGAAGGGTTACAGGCTTTGCAGCTGCCCCAGTCACCAGTTCCTCTTCCCCACCTCCCAGGCTCTATGTACCCACTCCGAGCAGTCCTTCCCCATGGTTTGGATTCTACTCACCAATCTGAGTTGTCTCTCTTTATCTCCAGGGTGGGGCCGAAGAGCAGCAAGCCTCCCTCTGAGGCACTGCCTAGCAACCTGTCCCTCCCAAATCGGAGCTGCAGTCTTTCCCCACAGCTTGGGTTCCCTTCTTTCTTCTTCTTCTTTTTTTTTAAAGGTTTATTTATTTATTTGTACAGAACT